TTGATAGTTGTACTGGTTATACTAATTTTTTTTTTTAGTAATTTTTCTAATTTTTTTTAAAAGCTTTATATGCTCTAACTTGCGTATCACCCGATATTTAACCGATATATCGCGACGGATGTGGAACAACCGCGACCACGACCCATGACGGCAAACCATGGCAACAACTAAAACCGATACGCAGTTGAACACCCAAACCAGCCAATCAGAATATATCCTAAATAAATCCTATTCTGGCTTAAAATATCAAAACGCATATCGACTCAGAAGCCTCCTAAACAGGAAAACAGATATTGTAGGAAATTTGAAAATGGAAAATAGACATGGTTTAACTACAATTCTCCAACCAAAATTGGTGCTGCACACTTCTTTAGGGAGAGTTTGTAAAATCATCCAGACTAACAATCCACCCTTCCAATCCTAATGGTGTCTTTAGCCGTTGGCCATATTCTTGTACAGTCTGTTTGTCTCTTCTTTCTATTGCATTCAAATGGCTTCAGTTAACAATGTTTTGTTGCCAAATGCAGACATAAAGGTTTTGCAAGATTACTACCAATGATCACTTACTGTTATTTTGGGCCGGACGGATGTTAGCAGTTGGTATCACTGGTTACATATAGAGCTAGCGAGCTATTGTTGATTACTTTTCTTCCCATGGTGCAGGCCCGCTGTTAGCAGCATGCATCAATGGTTAAATTGAACGCTATTGTTTATCGCTAGTGCCTATTGATAATATTATCAGCCCTGATGCATGGCATAGGTACAAAATTTGAATTTAAATTCTATATTTTGCAAACATAGCATTTATTTAGACCCAGAAAAGTATGAAAATAATGTGATCCCTAATGCATGACATAAGTACAACATTTGAATTTAATTTTAAAATTTGCAACTATAGCATACATTTACACCCAGGAAAGTTTGAAAATGACACATACTGTGATTCTGATCATTGCTAATGACTATTTTTTATTATTATCATATCTCTTTACCCCTATCTTTGAGATATTTCACCTGCTAATTTGTAGATACTCAATTATTTGAGGACCTATTCGCAGTTGCAATAGCTTATCAAGAAGCACTTCAACAGTAAAGCATTTTATCAATGTACTTCTTAAGTGTTTAATCGTATTGTTTGGATAGATACTTGCATAAGTACCTTTTTTCTAGTTGATAATACATAAGTTTGAATTTCTAAAACATATTTATCTCTCCATTTAGTTAAAAATTTATAATAAAATTGTTAAAGTTATTTTTTATTTTTTTAAACATAAAAATTGTTCTAAAAGCACCAATTTTGAATTTATACCAAAAATACTTTAATGGCCAAAATTTTGCTCCTGAATCGTGGGAATGATGCTCACTAAACACGTAAAAGTGTATTTAAAAGATAAAAGTACTTTTTTAGCAAAAGAACCGCAATCCCAAACAAGACCTATAATCTCAAGTGATATAAATAAATTAGAGGGAGTGTTATATTTGTTTGGAACTTCAACTCAAGGTTATAGAGGTGTGTTACCTAACTATTATTCTTGCACCTACTAATGTATTTGCTATCATAAAGTTTTATCTCTTTTTGTTTTTAAATTCGTATTAGGTTGAAACTTCAGCATACAAACTCTGCAGAATGTCACTTCCATCTTAACTAGTAATTTCGTATTCGTACGTTTTTGTATCTTCAAGTCAATCATCTCTCTCACGAAAAGTAAGTTGTTTTAATTGAGAATTCTTCTGCATTCTCTAACACTAACCTTTGCAAAATTAATTCCAACAAGCTCACTATATTAGGATTTTATTACATTGTGATACCAAACATAAAAGTTCAAAATTGATTGCATGATAGATCATAAATCAATGTTGGAGAAAATTCATGGAATGTATGAAAAAAAGTGTAATTTGTATATTTGGGTCTTAATTATGTCCACATTCTTATGGCCTAATTCTTGTATGTACTTGAATATGTTTACAGCCTTTAGTAGTTCTCCAAAATAGCTGTTTTGTGGAATCAATCTCCATTGTGTGTGTGTGTGTGTGTTTTTTTTTTAAGTTAGATAACAAAAAATGAAAAAATTGGTTTAAATAAGTAACGTTGAATTAAACATTCAGCTTCATATATAGAAAGTTAACTGCCAATTTTCTCTCCTTAACTTTTTTACTCCTTTATATGAAAAATTGATCAATCTTCTACTAATGTTTATCCAGAGCTGGCCTGAACTAAAACTTTCCATATGCTTTCTGCAGACTGCCTTTTAATTTAAAAAAAAAAAAAAGAAAAAGACCCTCCTAACATGGTTAATGGTTTCCCCCCACACCCCCCCCCTCCTCCTCGCTAGTTATATTAGAAGCAGGATTTCCTTTTTCTATAACTGCACAAGCTAAGTTTTGCTACTGTTCTAGAAGACTAGGAACTTATGCGTGTATCGTATTCGTCCCATCCGTTTGCTCTCTCTTGTTAATTCTAGAAGACATTGACGTGAAACAAAAGTAGCACTTAGTATAGTTAGTAATCACGCACTTCACTTTTATATTAGGTTTCACACTATAAATACAAACATTGACATTTATTGACCCCCAAATAAATGCAAATAAAGTTATTTATTTACACAAACCCTTTTTTTTGCATGCATATCCACCAGCTTTTCCCCTAGATTCTTTTCTGACAGGACATACAATAAATATATCTGCAAATAACTGAAACACATTTTTCTTTCTTTATTAAAATGTTCTAGATATCATCTTGCTCTAGAAGCATTTGATCCAGCCATTGTCCTGACCTCTTGTTCTTTCCTTTCTTTTCCCCCAGTTGACTAATACGCGGCTTAAATTATACCTATCCGTCGTCTAGACATGCATATTTATTAAATCCTCCCGAACAAGCAAATCATCATTTGTGTCCACCAAGCATTTTATCCTTCTCCTTTCTTATTACACTACTCTCCAATTCTCAACCAAAATGGATGATGATACCAAGAACAAAACTCCTCATCTCCAAGATGATCAGCATCAGCTAGCTGCGGCAGAAACAGAAGAAGCGGATGAAGCCCTTTCCCTTAGCGGGCTTATCTTAAACTCGGATGAAATCGAGGTCCAAGATCGAAGAAGATCATCATTTTCTGATCCATCAGAGCTTTTCGAGTTCTTGAGCGACAAAAACTCCCAGATGTCGCATGCAGAAGATATCATTTTCTGCGGTAAGCTTATGCCATACCAAGAAAACCCCTCTCGTCCGCCCAATGTTCACAATTTCCACAAGCATCATCAACTCACAAGACATGAGAAACAACAAAGCTTCCATCGTAGAAGATCCGAGTCGTTAAGTGACCTAAAAACCAGCCTGTCCAACAGTGCTAGAAGAAACCAGCATCAGTTCATGAGGACTAGCCGGTCTTTAGACTACCGAAAGTTGTATGGAAACAAGTACAACTCCCCCTCGGCAGCGGGCGCTTTCGCCAGGGCTGAAAAAGTAGAGATTGAGCGGAGCTCGTCGACGAGAAGTTCGAACAAAGGTTTTAATGCAACTGGGATGAAAGAAAAGACTGCAAGACCAAGGTGGTACATGATGTTTGGGCCTGTGAAGTTTCCACCGGAGATGGCTTATCAAGATATAAAGAGCCGGCAAGTGCGGCAGAGTCCCGGAAGTTTGTTTACGTCATTGGAGTCCCGCGAGAAGGCCATTGCCAACCGGCCGCAAGATCGGAGATGGTCCGGCTCTTGGGATTTGCTTAGGGTATTAAGCTGTAAGGGCCATGCAAGTGTAGCTGTAACGGCGTCGTTTGGCTGCCTGCAGGCGCAGCACAGTATTTGAATATGTTCTACTTTCATTGATTCTCACTTCGCATCCTTAACATTCAATTTGACGGTTTACAATCTAAAGTTATCAATTATTTGCCATGTTGCATGTCAAAAGTTTACTTTAAACCATTTCTACCCAAAAATTAACATTTTATTTCAAATTACCATGACGTAGTGAACTATTAAAGAGTGTAGTGCACATTATGCCCCTATCGACTAGTCCATCTTTATTTCATATTGCTTAGGAATCCCAAAGAAGTCAGTGAATTCGTGCGTCTTGTCTACTTTAATTTCTTCAACTATGATTTTATTGGTTGATTTGGAATATTTTGATAGCTTTGTATGGTACAAGTGTCTAAAATAAAAGTTAGCGTATGAATGAACATATCCATATTAATAATACAACTAGTGGTTAATGCACATTCTACGTGTTTACATTTCAAATAATTTCTAGCTTGCAAAACTTACCATCTTCTCTATATGGTAATGAACACGAGAATATGAAATTGATAAAATCAAAGACACCCTCTTTTATTAATTTTCCATAGGATTTTCTCTTTCTTATTCTTGTTGGACCAGTATCCATTTCCATATATATTCTTTGCTTTATTAGACTTTAAGTTCAAAAATATTGTTGATGACAATATTAACAACAAAAATAAAATCAGCCAGATTTTGTAAACATAGTATTAAGCTAGTTATTTGTTAAAGAGTAGGTTTTTATTCTTTAAATTTACGTACATTAGTAGAAGGGGGTGGGAAAGAAAGGGAGAGTTGGATTGGATTGTAAGTAAGATGTTTTGGGTTCAAGTCTTCTCACTTACCAAAAAAAAAATTGTAGATTATGAGAGGGATAGTGCTACCATTTTTTAGTTGGTCAAAGTAGTCAAGTATTGAATACTTGATCAAAACTATTGGAAAGGACTAATATGCCTTATTTCTAATTTTACTTTGGTTCTTTTACAAAGAAATAGCTGCTTTGTCGCAATTTGATAGAATTTGATCCTAGCACCAACCATGGAACATGAAAACGGTAGCTCCGTTTCATTGGATTTAGTAGGCACCAATCAGAATGCTACTGGTGTAATGTCCAAATACTTGTTCTCACTTGCATAACAAAAAAACAATAAAATGTAGAACATTAGAAACCAGATCTGTGCATTACAAGATTTAGGACTATTTTATTACAAGAGTTCATGCTTCGTTTTCAAAAAACAAGAAAAATCAAAATCAATTAAACAATCCCTTTGGAAATTGAATACAAGTGAAGATCCACTGTCCAAAAGCTCTTGAAAAACCAAATCCTGTCTTACATTCTCGGAACTAAATAATTAAAGAAAGGACCATAATGATGCAGTTAATTCTTCAAGTCCAACACCATTATTTTTTCCATACTTTCTTGAAAGTTCATAGAGCACATTATGAAACAAAATTGGTAGGATTTAAGGGTCTTAGCTGGGAACCTAGGACCCATTCTGGAAGATTCTGCATATGGTCTGCATGAGATTCTCAAAGCACAAATGAGATGATCCACCTTCCTGCACAGCTGCCCTGCTTTTCCCACTGATTTCTTGAACCCTTTTCCTTACTTCATTCTCACCATCCATGAGTTGCCTTACTCCTTTCCCAATTTGCTCTGCTTTCACCAATTGATGCTGCATTGCTTCATTGTAATCCAAGCTAATCTCCACAGCTATTCCCAACTCTTTGACCAATTGGAATGCATTCAACTCTTGCTCTGCAGCCAAAGGCCATGTCGCAATTGGCACACCACACCATATACTCTCCAATATAGAATTCCACCCACAATGTGACACAAATCCTCCCACAGCAAAGTGTGACAATACAGCCAATTGTGGCACCCAACCAACAACTTTTCCAATCGAAGCCGTTCGATCCAAAAACCCTTCAGGCAGCACGAGCTCCACATTCTCATACTCAGTAGGAAATCCTCCTTTCTCTTTTGGGGGTTGCCTCAGAACCCAAAGGAACCTTTGGCCGCTTTGCTCCAACCCATTGGCTATTTCCTTCACTTGATCCAATTGGAAGCTTCCTAAACTTCCAAAGCTCAGAAGAACCACTGATTTGGCTGGCTGATTATCCAGCCATTCCATTATTTCTGATTGGTTTTTAATCTTTGATTCGAACCTGTTCAGAATCGGCCCGATGGGATAGATTTGTGGAACCCCCGACTTTCCATAAGCTGAACCTTTCAAGAAAGATTTGAGAGCATAATCTTCAAGCGCGGCGAATGTGTTCACTATGATGCCCTTGGCCCTTCTGTACTGTTGTGCCCACTTGTGCATCCTAATTGACCATTGTAGCTTGTCAGTTATGATAATAGGCAGGACGCTGACAGGAATTGGTTGAAGAAAACAAGGTGCAATCAATTCTTTACTTGTTTTGAACAGTTCAATTGTATCTTGGTTATGATCATCTTGGAGGGATTGGACATAGAGCATAAGACCAATAAAACCAGCACCAGAAGTGCAAAAAATGTAGCTAGGAACCTGAAATTCATCTGCTACATCAATCATGGTTGTGGTCATCACATCAAGTAAGAATCCACAGAGACCTTTGATTTTAGAGACGTATTCTCTGACATGAAGTTTCTGAAATTCTAGTAGCTGATTTACGAACAGCCCTCTATGGGATGTCCAGTTATCTGTGTTTTCTGGTTGGGGGAGGTGGTGGAAATGGAGGCGTTCGACATTGCAGCCGTCGATGAAGGTTTGGATTTTGTTGGTGCCTTGGGGATCAATAGGCACCTTAATGACCAGAAGTGAAATTGAGAGTTGATTGTTTTTCTCAAGTATCAGTTTGGCTAATTGTATAGATTGTGTCAAATGGCCAATTAAAGGTGCAACAATGGCCACCAGCACAGGTTTGTCCATTGGACACTAAAAAGAAGAGGCCAAATGCAGCTTTCCGGATACACTCAACAAAGGTTTGAGCAATATTCCTTCCCATCCCATCCCGTTTATATAGAAACTGCTCATGTCTAATGTGGTTTTGTGCTAGACATGGCCACAGTTTCAAAACCACCGGTTACGACGGTTTTGATTTTTTTTGAAAGATGGAATTTGAATCGGTCCTTACATGGACCGTCACGGTTCTTAAACCTCCAATTTCGGTATGATTTGATTTCGATTTCTTTCGATTATGGTTCTAATTCTTCTAATCATACTTAAACTCTTGCTGTTAAAATTTTGATTCTAAGAAAATATGACAATAAATGTAGAAAAAAATAAGAACTTTATTGTATTATCATGTGCAAGGTCAAAGAAAAAATGATGAAATTTTTATATAAAAAAAAATACCTCATTGTTAATTAGATTGGATTGTCTTGAAAATAAATTAGTTATGGGTTTAAACTTACTAATGAGATGGGAACAAAAATTATTGGATTGAAATTGGGACGGGTGGTGTTAGGTGTTGACTATTGATATTGAATTCTAAACTGGCCAAATAAGTTTTGCTAGTAAATATTCTTTTAGATAGTTTGAACGGCACTTAAACCACTGGTTTTAGTTCCGATTCAAACTTTTGGGAAACTTAAATCTGAAAATTTAGTCATGATTATGGTTTCAGCTCTCAAAATTTGGATCTGATACCAATTCAATAAAATGCCGATTCGGTTCCGATTTAAATCTAGATTGTGACAACCCCTATTTTGTGCTTCCTCAATGAGAAAAAAAGAGAAAGATTAGAGGAATCTACTATTGCAACATATGTTTCAACACAAAGGAATATTCTAACAAATATATACATGGCATGTCTAACTAATTGTCAATATGTTGTGGATGAATTGGTAATAACTTGGCTCTTGTGTTGAATGCATTTTGCTTTGAATATCGCTGCCAGTTAAAGGACCATCGTTGCGTACCGCTCTCTACCTCTTATTTTCTTCAATTTCTCTCTACCACTTCATCTTTTCAAAAGCCTTTTCTTAGAGATGGAGACCACTCCCATGGATCTCATTTTGTTTTTTTTTTTTTCTAATAAAGTCTCTTCTATGTTTTCTTAGCGAGCATCCTCTGTTTCTCCTAAGGATTCTTAGTGAGAATTTTCTATTCTTCTTGAGATTCCTATGGAGATTTTTGTGTTTTTTTTTGTTGTTAGATCTAAATTTATTTCAAATTTGGATGTTAGATCCGAAATTTTTTTGGATATTGGACATATTCCGACGGGCTTTATCCTCACTACTAGAGTTTAAAACCATCGATTAATAGATTTGGCGATTACAACATTTACAGAAGGGAACTGTAACGATTTATCTGTTAAAAGAAAACTTGAAATTTCTTGTATTTTTCAAATTTGTTCATAATTGTTGAAATCTATTATATCTATTAAATTGCAGATCTATAATTTCTAATGCATGTTTAATCTGCCATTAGAATAGTGATGTAGATCAAATTATGCTAGACGATTTTTAATAATTTATTAATAAATTTTCTTTTTATCAAAAAAAAGGATCATCGATAGGTGATTTATAAGAACTACGGTAAGTCGTCTAGTGACATATCTTGAACTTAGTAAATATCACCTACTCCTAAACTTTTGTCAAACAAATAATAAAAGTTAAAGACAAAATTAACTTCAGGAAAAAAAGGTGAAGGACTATGTTGGCCATTTCTCCAATAAAAAATGTCTAACTAATCAATCAATTGGAGTGAATACGTAATGCAGGAACTAATCAGTGTTCATTGCGGTCAACCAAATCTTACGCAAATCACAATCAATATTTGGCATTGGAAGGTGTGGCCAAGATTATCTTTGCTCGTCTTAACTTCAGGTTCTCTCCCGCCTTGGGTCAAGGACGCCGGCTTACTCCTCTCCACAGACAGCGGTAGACAATTTGGAAAAGATCACTCTCTTTCGTGGGAATTGTAAGTTGAATTTGATTACTTCCTCACTTCCTCATTTACAGTTGAAATTTAGAGTGTTTGCCATATAAATCTCCAAACACTCCTTGCTTGCGTAATTGATTACCCAAATGCTGAAAAGTAAAACCAACGTCAGGAACTACTTAATTTAGCCTGCAAAATTACTATTGTTGCACTTTGTCTAAGTGATGTTGATCATTGAAAAATGTGTAAATAGAATATTTTAAAAAAAAATCCCTTAAAATTTGCAATCAAACGGGACCTTGTTAAATTGCTGTATTATCATAAATTCAAACTAAATAAGCATTGATGTATATTTAAAGTTGGGATAATTTCACAAACCTCCCTTGAGGTTTTTAACAATTACAAAGAGCTCCCTTCAGATATTAAAAATTACATATACCTCCCCCTACTTTTACTGTTCAGTGACGATATAGGTTCAACAAGATAGATTTCCTTACAAAAATCCTAAATTGCCCTTTTGCACAAAACTAAGAAAGAGCAATATAGTATACTCAATTATTTTCTTCATACTTAGCATAAATCAACAAGCCCAATCCCTAACAACCATCCACGTATAAATTCTAAAATCAAGTAGTTGTCCAAAAAACTTCAAATTGTATATACAATATCAATATTTGCCATGTAAAAAAAACACATACACACACGTAAAAACTCCATTGACAACTAATTTTATACCCCAAAATTAAATATCAATGCTCCAATACCTTTTCAATATAAGCTAATCTGACCTAAAATCGCCACTACAACCCTTATATAGTTTTAAAAATATTAATATCTCAAAAGTAGAGAATAAATTCTACCTCCACAATAAAATCATAACAAAAAAAGTTCTAATCCAATGAAAGAAATCCTTATGTAATTATTGACATTATATAAAAGTTTTTCTTGACAACAAACAAAATATTATAAATTCCACATCTTTAATTCTTCTTCCTATTTATATCATCAATTTCATTATTTATTTATCTATCACTGTGAGTTTCTTCATTTTCTTCTAATTCAACACATAATCCACTCTCTCTGTTAATTTTGCAACTTCAATTTGCTAATATCCACAAATTTGAAGATAATAAAAAGAGGGAATATTAATTAGAAAAAAGAGGAGCGAAAATAGACAAGAGATAGAAAAGAATATATGTTTTTGGATTTTGTAAATTTATTGCCTTAAATTTAAAATTGTCTATCAAGTGGAGGGAATTATAGGTATTTTACTATGCCAAGGGAGGTAAGTAAAATTTTTTAAACATGAGGAGAACTGGGTGAAATTATCAAAAACCTCAAGGGAGGTTTCTGTAATTATCCCTTTAAATTTCAAAATTATGCACTATCAAATACTAGAAGTCTAGAAGGACCTGTGCACGTAACGCTCCAAAACAGTAAGTGCGAAACAGGGCCAAATTAATGGATGGTTGAGGATAGCCAACTTTCTTTTGCCTCTAAAACAATTCTCTGAACACGAGTAGCTCATAGTCCACACAATTTTTCTAAGTACAAAACTCAAGTAAAACAAGTAAGGATTTCATTTTCAATATTATTTTGGAAGATGTGCATCTTCGAAATTTAAAATACTAAAAGACTGATTCGATTACAATAATAAACAATCCTTAGACAAATAAGAGAGTTGGTACAGACCTTATTCTATTTCTTAAATACTTGACAGACCAAGGGCATTTGCACTTTCAATACGGCAACCATAGTTAATTGTATGTGGTCCATACCAGCCTACATCAACTTGCTTTAAAGATAAATATATCCTTTTTGCCCTTTTAGTTCAAGGGAACTCTAAAAGAGGCCACAAATTTACCAAACATGAATTCGAACTCAAACTCGTTGAACTTTCGATATAAAAGTCGAACTCGAGTTCAACCTCAAATTCGGTTCCAGTTAAACTCGAACTCTAACCTATTCGACCTTAAAAATATATATAAATAATTATTTTATTTTTTAAAAAATAAATAAATAAATCATTTCATTTTTAATAAAAATAAAAATATTAGGGATATATATATATATATTTGAGTTAATTCACGAGTTAACGAGTTGAATTTTTCTATATTCTATTCGAATTCGATAGTTCGATTTGATCGGCTTGAACATGACTCAAACTCGATATTGACCAAGTTTGAATCAAGTTTTGACCAAGTCGGCTCGCGAGCATGATTCTTTTGCAATCCGAGTAAGAATCAACTAATTAATTTCTAATCATACCCACAAAGAAACTAGTTAATCTCTCAGGTATAAGGAAACTAGTTAATCTCTAAGGTACAAGGAATAAAACTACGCAAAAATATTTTCATCCTAAACAATAATTGTGATCACGCTTCCCATTGAGCATGAGAAGAAATGATGCCTTCGGATATGCCTCTAAAGTTCTATAAGGATGTTTTAATCGCTTCAATTGATTCTCGTCTAAAGTATTTGATAGACGAATTTCAGCACGCCTTCAGGCACTTTAAAATCAACTGTGTTGTTTAAATTTTGGCATTCGAAACCGCGCCTTCACCTCTCCATTTGTGGGATCCGCTGCAAATAGTCTGTACAAGATTCTCAAAGCACAGATGAGATGATCCATTTTCCTGCACAGCTGCCCTGCTTTTCTCACTAAACTCTTTGACCCTTTTCCTCATTTCATTCTTACCATCCATGAGGTCCCTTACTCCTTTCCCAATTTCCTCTGCTCTCAGCAATTCTTGATGCTCCTTTGCCTCATTGTAATCCAAGCTAATCTCCACAGCTATTCCCAACTCTTTGACCAATTGGAATGCATTCAACTGTTGCTCTGCAGCCAAAGGCCATGTAGCAATTGGCACACCACACCATATACTCTCTAATATAGAATTCCACCCGCAATGTGACACAAATCCTCCCACAGCAGGGTGTGATAATACAGCCAATTGTGGCACCCAACCAACAACTTTTCCAATGGAAGCCGTTCGATCCAAAAACCCTTTGGGCAGCACAAGTTCAACATTCTCATACTCATC